AATTAAAAGGTAGTATAATTTCAGGTTTATAATGCAAATATTGTTTAAATTTAAAGCATTTGGTATTTTGCTTACAATATTTTTTTACTGATAATCTAAAATGTGTAGCTTTAAAGAAAAAAGTTTCACAGAATTATAGCAGATGAGCAGCTGTTTCTACATGGTTAGGGCACGGAAGTTAGAGTTCTATTTGCCACATTAATCAGAAAGAATTGAGACTAGGAAATCCATTTCATTTAATCTCATTATTGAATAAACAGCGTTGTCGTGATGCCTATTTGTACTTGTTTCTCTAATAAAAATGCAACTGTAGCTCTCAACACAAATTAGTTTTAATTATTTAAATGATATGAATTTGTCAAACATAAATAATTAACACCTGTTTTGCCTTTTCATTTAATGAAAAAAGTGTTTCATGAAAACTAATAGAGGATGATAGTGGGGAATAACAAAGGTAGGTCTATGTATTTATTATAATTCTATTAATTCAAAAAAGATGTAAGTGTGAGTTGATTACTACCTAGGAGGGTAAAGAAGCAGTCCGCTTCATTGCTGTGCAACGACAGAACAGATAACAGCAGAACAGAAGAATGTCTCACATACACTGGGTCCATGCAACTCACTTGTCCTACGCTCATCTCTGAGAACTGGTGACAGTGATTTACAGTATAGCAATTAATCTTCTGAATACAATGATAACATTACAGAGCAATAAGTGGTGTAACTTTTGAGCTGCTTAATCAAGGCACCAAAAGCTGCTATGGCAGTCATCAATATATGTGACACAAACCTTTTCAGGCAACGGAAAATACTAATCTGAGCCTCCCTACTTTGTATGTGTTTTAGTAACTTCACATCAGGAGATCTGACTGACCATACATGAAGAGTACCCTAAGTGCCAGGATGGCATAACGTGGTATAAAAACCAATTGGTAGCTAATGCTGCAAATTGAGAGCTATGTGTTTTCTCCACAGAATAGTATAATCATATCTATTTTTTCTGTTTCATCTACATTTTGTTTTAAAAGACTTGCTTTTTAAAATTTTGGATATCCTAACACACTCCCCTGAATTCATTTATCATTTGGTTGAGGAGGGAAATTAAACATGTAACCCAGCTGTGGTTGGTGGTCATGGCTTCATATGGCAGTTGAAGCAGTGATAATTTGTATGACTTTGTGTATATTAAATCATACTTGAATATTGATTCTGTTTGTGGTGTATTAACTGTTATCGTTTCTTGGTAAAAGAAATGTGCTAAGCAGATAGTTATTGTTCTAAATCAACAAGGCAATTTTAGAGTCACACAAAGCTGTTGAAACCTACCACTCAGTATTTTGTATGCCAGATTAATCATCTTTATTGTCCCTTCTGGAGGTGTCTCTCTTCCTTCGTACAAAATATTTCCAGCAGCCAGGCTTATCATGAGAACTTATGACACTCCAAGGATATGATTATGTGACCATCACAGTTAATATTGTGCCTTACATATAAATAACGTAGCCCAGGGTTTCAGACCTGTCTTCTTTTTTTTAAATACAAATTACAGAAAACCTTTTCTGAAGTATTTTATTTTATTTCAGAGTGCATTTTCTCTCAAAATGTTCTTACAATTTTGTATTAGCTGTGCTCCCTTCTCAGTGCATTTAATATAAAACACACCCTTTTTTTTTTTTTTTTTTTTTGCATATCAGTGTCTTTAGACCCTTTGTTTGCAATATTTAATTATTATTAAATAATCAGTAAATATATTACAGGAAAGGTACTTTGGAACTACTGAATTTCTTTTAATGTCATTGGAATTGAACTAAAAGTTAGTAGTTAGAATAAAATATTTCAAGGAACTACAATCTGTGACTCAAGAAAAATATGGATTTTACTTTGTTGTTGTTATTTTTATAATAATTTTAATAAATTTATAACTTTATATCAATATAAACTGCGATGTCATTTAAAATAAAAGAAAGCATATGAGAGAAAGGACAATGTTTTCAAAACTCCCACTATATGTCAGAGGACACCTTCCTATTGTAGTAATTTTGATGTTGAAGAAGGGGCTAGTGACATTCTTAAAGCCTCCAGAATTGTTTCACTGTTGATCTGACCAGAGCTTTGAGCAGAAAACAAATCTGAAGAGAAAAATTTCTTTTGCATATACCTGTTAGACTGAAAATTTGGTCTTCATTTTTAAAGGGCTGCTCTAAAAATATAGAACTATTTTACAACCTAGCTAACTAGCTTGTAAACTACATACATAACATAAGTAAAATAATAGTATTATCTTTGCTAATGTTGCATTCACTGCTTCATTCAATGCTGCAATTTATTTCAAGAAGCCTTCATGTTACTAAGGATACAGTGATGACAATTAAGTATACCAGGATACTAACGTTTAACAATTGTGTCTTTGAAACAATATCAAGTTATATCTCAGTTTTTATATGTAGTTCCCTAAATAAGTGGAGTTCCTTGTTACCTAATCTGAGCTGTTAGTAAGGGG